GATCAAGCGGAAAAGGAAAAGGAAGGGGAGAAGGAGGATGAGAAAGAGGAAGAGGACGCGAGACAGCAGGCACGGTTACATCCACTTCTCGCTCGTCCCCCTATAGAGACCGCGCAAGCAAGCAAATAATAAACAGCAGAGTGCCGGGCAGATCCCAGCCTGTGCGAGGATACGCGAGGCGGAAGGAAACGATGGCCTGGATCCCAAGCGCCAGGGCGAAGGGAGAGGCATCCAGTCGCATCGTGTTAGGCGCATGCGCTCGCCGAGTGGAATGATATCAGTTGTAACGTTGGAGCCACCGCGCACGAGGCGGCGAGGGAGCGGACAAGGGGGGCAAGCCCGAACATGGTGCCCGGGGTCGGCCGGCTCCGGCCCTAAGTGAAGCCTGCGCGCGGCGCATGCACACGGCGGGCCTCAGCCCACGGACTATGGGAGGACGCCACGGGGAAGAGGGGCGAGGAGGAGGACGGCGAGGGACAAGTACACTGAGCTTCTCCACAACCAGCCCTCCGCAAGCAACTAGCTCTTCAGGCCTGAAGCTCCAGGCCGCTGCACTCGGGGGCGGGAGGGGGGGAGCGAGGACGAGACCTGGAGGGGAGAGCAGGAGGAACCGAAGCCCGCTGAGAGCCTCGCCGCTGGACTGGTCACAGACTGGGAGGCTTTCAAGGCTTGACTTAGGTCGGGCACGTCCTCCAACAGGCGGATCTCGGACGAAAACTTGGTTTGAAAAAATCAAACGATGCTCAAACATAATGTACACATATCGAAAAATCGTCCCCAGACTGTTTTTTGGCTATTCTTGAAGATTCCTCCTGCAGAGGGACAGGCCCGACTTAAGGCTTAGGCTTGACGTGCGCCACCAAGGCGACGCACCAGCACCCGTGGTCGCAAAGCCGGAGGCTGCTTGGGCGGCAGCGGCAGGAGCGACCGGGGTTGCTACGGGGCGGTCGGTGGGCCCGGGGCCGCGCGGCGCTGCTGTGGCTTGGCGCTGCCGGCGAGCTGTCTTGCTGTTCGGCGTCGTGCCGGTGCACACCGCCTCGCCGCACGCGGTCG